CCGTCATCCACTTGTCAATGTGACACAGATTATTTTTGGCTCTGGCCTCTGACGTTCCGTTTCAGGTTACATGATTATTGACTTTACAATTTTTAATTAATGGTGCGTCACATGATAGTTAACAGTACCGTATTTATATTCATATGCATGTAGTAAAAAACGGTTATTTCAATATTACAAACAGACACTCCAATTTTATTTATATGTATAGATGTATATATATGTAGATATTCCTAAGATAGATAGATATATACTTTACTATCGCCCCGCCCCGGCTTTGCACGGGTGTAATGCTGAAAATGTACCTCTACTATAGAATGTTTACAGCATTTTTGTCATTAGATAGTACAAACATGTTTCATATAGCGCCGCAGATGTAAGCGCAAAAAATGTGTTTTTTACATCACTCTCCTCTCTAAATTTATCAGTGTTTCTCAACAATATTATGTATGTATTATATATATAAAACTTCCTCTTGAATCACTCTATCTATTAAAAAACCGCTTCAAAATCCGTTGCGTAGTTTTAAAGATTTAAGCATACATAGGGAAAGACAGCGACAGTGACTTTGTTTTATACTGTGTAGTGATGATGTGTTTGTCTTTTTTATTCCTTGTGGTCAGTCAAATGATTGATAATAATAATAATAATCTCAGGACAATTCACACAGCCCCATCTAGACTCAAGTTAAGCTAGCTAAAGCTTTTGTTATGGGTACTAAACAACTGATACATATACATAGATATAAAAAAAAATACGAGCTAAGTTTCTTGTCAGTTCTCATCTCGAAATCATGTCGAACTGACGGTAGATTTGACATATCATAAGAGTCTGTAATAGACCTACATGAATAAAGATATTTTGAATTTGAATATTTTTTTTGTAAATACACACATATTATATGTACATAGAAAACACCCAGACTGATACAAACAATCATACTCATGAATACAAATGTATGTGCCGTGCGAGGAATCGAACCCGCGACCATCGGTGGTAAAGCGGTGTGCTAGACCGCTAGACCACCGAGGTCGTCAAGGTGATGAGGTATTATTTGTGCCTTTTAATTTTTTTTTCTAAATAATGTCTAGATTTGGGTCCAAATGTTGGTTCAATGTTGGGAACCCTACTCGGAACGCGTGGACGACGAAACGTCGTCATTATTTATTCGTGTTGTGGGGGTGGTCGCGGGGCGCGGGAAGGGGATTAAGGGACGGGGTGAACCATCTGTCATCTTGTTCCTGAGAGGGGTAGCGAAAAAGTAAAACAAAAGTTTCCCGGCAGTAATTTGTCGTATATTACTTGTACCTGAGTGAATCACTTGTATCGCAGGTAATATTAAATTCGGTAAGGGTTGTTTCAAATTTGACGACCTCGGTTGTCTAGCGGTCTAGCACACCGCTTTACGACCGTTCGCGGGTTCGATTCCTCGCACGGCACAAACATTTATATTCATGAGTATGATTGTTTGTATCGGTCTGGGTGTTTTCTATGTTTAATATGTATTTACAAAAAAAATCTATGTATTTCTATCAGTTGTCTAGTACCCATAAGCTTTAGCTAGCTTAACTTGGGTCTAGATGGCGCTGTGTGAATTGTCCTGAGATTATTATTATTATTATATTGTATTATTACCCCACTAAGCTCGACTTCATACCTGTTCGACGCGACTCAGAATGCACGTATAATCACTGGATCTTATCATGTTTTGTATGTATGTATTGATTTCATTATACGTGTAAATAATGACCGCGTTAGATTCAAAACAATGTGTCACAAATGGTACAGTGTGTTGGTTTGGCAATATAATATACTTGTATATTTGATACGATATCTAAATATATATAACTCAAAGGTGACTGACTGACATAGTGATCTATCAACGCACAGCCCAAACCACTAGACGGATCGGGCTGAAATTTGGCATGCAGGTAGATGTTGTGATGTAGGTATCTGCTAAGAAAGGATTTTGATTAATTCTACCCGCAAGGGGTTAAAATAGGGGATGAAAGTTTGTATGAAACTTTGTCAATTTTAAACCGATCGGGCTGAGACTTTGCATGCATAAAGCTACTATGACGTAGACATCCCCTAAGAAAGGATTTTGATAAATTTCACCCCTAAGGGGATAAATTAACACGAGCGAAGCCGCGAGCAAAAGCTGGTCTATACATGTAAATGAAATTGGAGTGTCTGCTTGTAATATTGAATTAACCGTTTTTTATTACATGCATATGAATATAAATACGGCACATACACCAATTTAATATTTTTTAAAATTTTTGTCTGTCTGTCTGTTTGTTCCGTCTAATCTTTGAAATGGATGGACCGATTTTGATGGAACTTTTATTGGCAGGTAGCTAATGTAATAAGGAGTAACTTAGGCTACTTTTATTTTAGAAAAATAGAGTTAAATTCCAGGCGGACGAAGTCACAGGAACAGCTATTATATACATATATTTGTTAAGAATTAATGTGTATACAGATAAAGATATATTCTTTAGTACTTAAATATATTATTAGGTTTAAATATAATTGCTTATTTGAAATGAATTTAAATGATATTTATTCAGTAGAAGAAAAAAGTAAAACAAACAAAAAGAAACGCTGCAACAATTACAAAAAAATATACACAAATTACGTGTGTGCGCGTGTGTATGTTTGTCGAAGCATCTACAGAATAGGTCCGTGCTCAGCATAATGCTGCAGCGGCTGGAGCGCTGCAACGCTGTTTTTCAGCACAAGACCTGAGGTGCTGTATTGCTGTGTTGTACACGATTTATGATATGATATACTAAATATATAATAAATTGATATAAATTAATATACATAAATACATTTAGCTAAAATAGAGATAGTACACAAATGACAAGGCGATAATAGATATAAATACAGTCAAACAAAAGAAATACAGGAGAGGGTATATAAAGATACAGATATATAAAGAAGTAATGTATTTTTGCCTAGATTGATTTTTGTACCTCCAAAAGGTATATTTTTTATGTGTCGTTTAGTATATAAAGATAGTTTATATTTATTATTATTTATAGTTTATATAGATTCGTTAGTATATATTAAATTATTAGTACAATATAATAGTATAATATATATATATAATATATTAAGTTATGATATAGATTTGTTAGTATATTCAAAGAGGCAAATATTCTCACCGTTGCTTCTCAATTTATATATTCAAATATCCTATATGTTCATAAAAATCTTAACTTATTTCCAAAAAACAGCGATATTTATAATATTAATACTAGATTTAAAGACAAACTTGCTGTCCCCAAGTATCGTTTAGAAAAAGTTAATAGGTCTTTTATGGGAATAGGTATAAAATTTTACAATAAGATACCAAAGGATAGATTGGAATGACCCTTAAATAAATTCAAAACATCTGTTAAATCATATTTACTGAGCAAGGCCTATTACTCACTAAACGATTACTTGAATGACGAGTGTGCATGGCAATAGTTTTCATGTACGGGATTTTCGTTTTATGTTAGACATAGACACCTATATAAATACCTATGCATTGTAAATAAACTGGATTTAAAAAAAAAAGTAATTCAATTGAGTTTCTTGCCAGTTCTTCTCAATTGGATCTATATACTGAACTGGACGGTAGGGAAAAAAATTATAATGTAAAAACTTGAAGTTCATAAGCGGCTAAAATGTCGTACATAAATAAATGATTTTTGAATTTGAATTTATAAAGATACAGATATAAAAAGTAGTGTTGTATGTTTGCCTAGATTGATTTTTGTACCTGCAAAAGGTATTTTTTTAGGTGTCGTTTAAAAGTGTAATTTGATTGAATTATTAAACTATTATTTCGCTCGCTAATATTTGAAATGTGAAAGTTACTGAGACGTATTACTCAATCGTGCTCGGACAGTTGAGCCGGATAACAAATGTCTTCTGATAAGTGGACGGACGGACAATATCGTACAGTAATGGACAGGAAAGTAGGTGGCGAGTTTTATGATAATTTACATGACGTTTGGGTAACAAATAGTGAAGTGAATCAATCATTAACAAAAGCAATAATAATAATAATCTCAGGACAATTCACACAGCGCCATCTAGACCCAAGTTAAGCTAGCTAAAGCTTGTGTTATGGGTACTAGACAACTGATACAAATACATAGATTTTTTTTTCCGTAAATACATACATATTTTATTATATAGAAAATACCCAGACCGACCAATACTCGTGAATACAAATGTTTGTGCCGTGCGAGGAATCGAACCTGCGACCATAGGACTTAAAGCGGTGTGCTAGACCGCTAGACCACTGAGTTCGTCGTATATATACGAATATGTAAAATATAATTACAGTAAGATACAGAGGTAACAATGGGCGGCCTTATCGCTAAATAGAGATTTCTTTCAGGCAACAAATTATAATTAAAATCATTTATTCATGTAGGACATTTTAGCCGCTTATGAACGTCAAATTTTTATATTATAATTTTTTCCCTACCGTCCAGTTCGGTGTATAGATCCAATTGAGAAGAACTGGCAAGAAACTCAATTGAATTACTTTTCAACCTTTGGATGGTTAAGATCTAGTTATTAATTTTAGTAGTAAATTAATTTGTTGTCTGGTATATAGAAATGTTTTGTATAATCATCAACATCGGCTTCTACCTTATACAAGGGCGGATCCAGCTTTGTCGCCAGGAGGGGGTCACATAGTCGTGATGAAGTGAAGAACTTATAATTTCTGATAACAATAGATACAAGTAAAAAGTAGGTATTTTATTAATGTACGTAAGTACTGAACTTAAAACTTATTAATAAAATCTGTATGGTGACAAAATATATAAATAAATTCATTATGTTCAATTAGTGGCCCACCTGTGCTCAGGGGGGTCATGACCCCCTCATGACCCCCCCTCTGGATCCGCCGTTGACCTTATCCCACTTATTTGGGGTCGGCGTAATATGTTTTGTACAATAATTTTAAACTGTTTTTTTTATTGTTTCAGGACCCATAAACCCACTTACAAATGTTACGCGTACAGAATCAGGACTTAAAGAAGGTAAGTTCAATGAATCACTTTTGGAATATTTGTAAATTTATTTTAATTAGCGTGACTAATCATTACATAGTATAAAACAGAGTCGCTGTCGCTGTCGCTGTCTGTCCGTTCCTATGTATGCTTAAATCTTTAAAACTACGTAATGGATTTTGAAGCGGTTATTTTTAATAGATTGAGTGATTCAAGAGGAAGGTGTATATGTATAATACATGTACACCCGTGCGAAGCCGGGGCGAGTAACTAGTAATATTATATACAAGTCATTGCTTCGCACAGATACAATTATTGTAGAAGTCTCTGTTTTTTTTTCTTAAATAAAATTAAGTTCTAGTTTTTCGCGTATAATGTAGTTTTCTACTGAAGAATGAATTTTTCAATATCATTACATTATATCGTTACATAGTATAAAAGTCACTGTCGCTGTCTGTTCGTCCCTATGTATGCTTAAATCTTTAAAACTACACAACGGATTTTGAAGCGGTTTTTTTAATAGATAGAGTGATTCAAGAGAAATGTTTGTATATATAATACATATACATCTGGGCGAAACCGGGGCGAGCTAGCTAGTGTATAATATATACATATCATAGTATAGAAAAGCCTAAAAATTCAAAGATATGTAATGTGATATCGTAACAAATATATTTTTGTATCTTTATTTCGAAAGTGCTGGCTAAGCCTTACCAGATTAGTTTTAAATATTTGTATGGAACTGATATGGGAGCTATTTTCTGTAAGGTCGTTGCTACAGAATAAATATACAGAAAAAAATTTAGTTGGGTCCCTTTGTGTAAAACTATTATTGTTCATTTATTAATTGTATAAAAAAACAATTGTATTATTGTAAACCTGTATAACATAGTTATAAGTATCGAATTTAATGTTACTTATATGCATTTACATTATTTAAAAATGTTTGTTTGTTAATTTCAGCATATGTTTTAATTTAGTAGATTGTTATTGTTTGATATATGATTTTATGAGTATTTATGACACAAACACGCCTCTCGTGTTAGTACTGTAATTTATTTTATATTACGTTTCTATCCGTGAAAACCTATAAGTGGCCGTTATCATTTAATTATATTTATAACTATGTTTGTAAATAGCTTTGGTTTTCCGAAAATAAATAAATAAACATTTATTTAAAAAGAATACTCACTATTAATACAAGAATACTAACAGCAAGATCTTGAAATCATTCCAAACTGACGGTAGATTTGACATATCATAAGAGTCTGTAATAGACCTACATGAATAAAGATATTTTGAATTTTGATGTGAATTGCAGGTAGTTGTGCAGTGGGCGATGTGGTGTACATGCCTGGTGACCAGTTCCCGGGTTCGACGCCGTGCGAGCGCTGCTCATGTGCCGCTGGCGCAGTTCAGTGCGAGAGACAGCGGTGCGAGCCCCGCCCTGGCTGCAAGGCGCTCCACCGACCTGACCATTGCTGTCCCACCTACCAATGTGGTTAGTAATCACTTTATATAGTAATAATAATAATAATCTCAGGACAATTCACACAGCGCCATCTAGACCCAAGTTAAGCTAGCTAAAGCTTGTGTTATGTGTACTAGATGATTGATACAAATACATAGATATTTTTTTCGTAAATACAAACATATTATACATAGAAAACACCCAGACCGATACAAACAATCATACTCATGAATATAAATGTTTGTGCCGGGGGGGAATCGAACCCGCGAACATCGGAAGTACCACCGCGCGACCACCGAGGTCGTCATATTATATGGTTCAGAATATGAGTAGAATAAATTTATTACAACACACACCACGACACTACAATCACCATGCAAATATACAAATATTTATTATGACGGCCTCGGTGGTTTAGCGGTTTAGCAGACCGCCTTACTTCCGATGGTCGCGGGATTCGATTCCTCCCACGGCACAAACATTTGTATGATTGTTTGTATCATTCTGGGTATTTTCTATATATAATATATACATATGTATTTACGAAAAAAATGTATTCGTATCAGTTGTCTAGTACCCATAACACAAGCTTTGGCTCGCTTAATTTGGGTCTAGATGACGCTGTGTGAATTGTTGTGAGATTATTTATTTATTTGAAATAGAAATAATCTTTATCCATTTACCATTAAAAGTGACGATGCTTCCATATAACCTTTCGTCTTCTCTTTAAACCCCATACTACCTTTTTTAGCGTATGTAGTCTAGGCTCTGAGAAAGGCCTCAGAGCCTAGACTAACTGTGTATCTAATATAATTTGAATATGTCCATAGTCCGCTTCCATTACGTTTTTTTTATTGTGTTGTTTGGGCTATTGTCAGCTGTTTGTAGTACCTGTAGCACTGCGACCTACATAGATCTATTGTGCTCGCCCTTTTTCAGAGTTCGCTACCTAGACCCGTCAGGGACAAGAATTGAAGGATATTCTTAGGAGCGATGGTTTTTATCTCCTCAGGATAAATGTAAACTTTTCTGAGAAGATATTTCGTTTATGCATGATTGGGCTACAACCACATAGGATGCGTAGTGGCGTTTCCTCTTCAGTTTGGCAGAATCTGCAGATTTTTGTCGTGCATAGGCCTAGCTTAGCCATATGCTTGTTCAATTTGCAGTGTCCTGTGAGGGCCCTAGTAATATTACTTACGGAAATTTTCAGTCTACTATTAATAATGTTACTAATCATTTAAATTGTTGTAATTTCAGAATGTGAGCAAGAAGGGCGTGTATACGGCAACGGGGAGAAATTGGTGGACCCAGCGGACCCGTGCCGGGTGTGTTACTGCCAGGGAGGCGAGGTCGTCTGCCGGCGCATTGCTTGCTTCGTGAGGGACGACTGTAAACCACGCCTGGTCCCTGGCCGATGCTGTCCAGAATACGACAATTGTCCTCTTAGAGGTATTACTTACTTTTTATATAATAGTCCTTCTTCTTAATCATTGCCTCACTGCTGAGGATCGCGACTCTACAGTATCCTGTCGACCAGCTGTCGCCATCGATTGCGCTCAGACGCCTGGTGTAGTACGGTGCTGAGAGTAATGTTTAACTGACGAGATACCTGGTCTGACCATCGAGTGGGACTTCGGCCTCGAGGTCTTTTAGCCTCTATCTTGCCTGTTACCATTAGTCTCTCCATATTGTCTACACTCCTCCGCGCAATGTGCGATGCTGACAAGTAGAAGACAGACGCCGTGACTCTACCAATTTCGTCTAATAATTCGTCTAAAAAAGATAACAGTCCTTACAGTTACTAAAATTTGCATGCCCGTAAAATGGGGCAATTAAACAGTTGCCAATAATATTATTACCTGAACATATTATCGAATATCTAACTAATAAATTTCATTTCATTTCATTAATAAATATTTGTCAATTAGAAAATTATCAGATTTTGCACATTATTTCAAATTTAACTAGAATCTTATAAAGATTTATAGGCGATCAAATTTATATTTCGATAGCTGTTAACCGCGATTTTATACGCGTGAAATTTATAGCCTGTATGTCATTCTCGTGTATATTACTATAAAGTTTCATCAAAATCCGTCAAAGTCACAAACTTTCGCGATTATAATATTAATAAGATGTATTACATCTTTGTCGTCTGAAATGGCAACGAGATTTCCGTAGTGCTGTTTGTTGCGGGTTAACAATAAGATATTGTTGGTAGAGTCTGTTGCTAGCAACAAATAATCATTTTATGTTTATATCTATGGTAATACCATGGAATAAGTGCTAGAGGGTGGCACCATTGAATTCCTTTTTAACTATCTGGCTTCCACGATATTGTCTAACAGATGCTATACGTTGCTGAGTGTAATTAAGTTATTAATTGGTCCAGCAAAGGTGTTTTTATCATCAGCAACCTACAGTCCACGCTCTCAACATTGGTCCTTCGAGCCGGATCTGAACCAGCGACCTATGGATCTACGATGATACAGATGATGATAGACTGAAAATATGTACATAAAAATATTATCTTATATACTAAATGACGATACGAAAATGTAAGGAGGGGTGACACAGTTTAGACACAGCAGTGCTTAGTACACAATATTGAGTTTGTCTTACTAGCCATTATTAATTGCAATTATTATTTTGATGTATCTAGGTAACTTTGTCCCATACTGTTCATGTACATACCAGTATGTTTATAGAAGACGGTTAGCATGTTATCATTAGGTGGGTCATCAGTTTGTTTGTTCAATTCCAATGACATAAAAGTATATATAGATATTGAGATGATGGCTACTATGGAAAAATTTGTTTACTATTTGGGTTCGCTTTCTATCGGTGATATAATAAATCTGAAGACTACTCTGAGACCTCAATTACATGAAGTAATGATATATTTTTTTTTATCTTTATTTTACAAATTTAATTTGAATTCTTTGTTTTACAGGTGTCACATCTCTACCGGGTATTTCCCCATCATCGTCGAGCGGATCTACAGCTGGCACTTTTGAAACTAGCGTGGTTCCTACGGCACCAAAGGAAATTATCAAACCAGAGATAACTATCAAGGAAATTACTCCCGTCTCGGAGATTCCAATTATTACTGAAGTAAAAATAAAGGAAATATTACCATCGCCGAGTATCGAGGTTGCTGAATACCCATCTTCAAAATCTCCTCTCATTCCCCGTGAAGCGACATCAGAGAAAAACATCGATAATCAGTATGAACTTACAGAACGTCCTCTAGTAATTGAAGTACGCCCATCTTCTTCGCCTACTGTCATAACATCAGGGCCTACTAAAACGAGTACAGATAATTTTTCCACAAGTAAAAATACTGATGATGCCACGCCTTCCAAAATCAGTTTTTCTACTCAAGATTCTATAAATAGTGAAATATATCCATCAAATATACCAAGTTTAGCAACAGTGGGTTTGCCTTCAGTAAATTCAGGAGTGACATCGACTACGAGTACTACCAAAGCTCCTGTAATAATAGAAGAAGAAGATACACCTTTTGACCACAACCCAGCGTTCCCGCCTTTACCCGATGACTTGTCTGTACAAGGAAGTCACAATGATGAAATCATGCCTGAAACAAATATTGATAGTGATCACATTCCCAGCAGTCGTGAAATTTTAACAACTACCACTACATCAACTGAAGCAACTACTACAAAGAAAGTACAGGTAAAAATATTTAAAGATATTCCCGAAGAACCACTAACGACTGAAAAACTACCAGAAATATCCACTGAATCAAGTACAGTTCAATCAGAAATTGTAACGAGCACCGAGTTTTCTAGTACGAAAGATAATTCAATGCTCAATCTTAGATCTGCTATACCAACTGAAATTCTGAATGTACCTTCAATGGTACCAGAGGACATTACTGGAGAATTAGACGAAATTGAGACAACATTAACTACTCAATCTACACCAATTAGTACAATTGCAAGTACTCCAGAGCCTAAACTAAAAATTGAAAAATCTAAATATTCGATAGAAGATAAACCAGAAATAAGTTCTAGCACTGAAAATGTACCACGAGTTGAAGTAGTATCGCCCAAGATTATTGAAACTACTGAATCTTCATTGAGCACAAAAAATTCACAGATAGAAACCACAAGTTCTATAGCTAAATCCAATGAAGCTACAGAAGTTGCTTCACAAACGGAAATTAGTTCGTTGCCAATAGAGACTAGTGATCAAAATCCGCATGATGTATCTGAAAGCATAACAAAAGAAAAAATTGCCACAACTACGATGGTACCTTTGGTTGACACTACTAAAATAATTTTGGCAGATCCAGAGATAATCGCTGTATCTAAATTTGTACCAACAAATACGGAAAGTCACTCAACAGAAAATATTGAAACTACTGAATTCGTATTAACCTCTTTTGGTTCATCTGAAAGTGCTACTGATGGTGTGGAGTTAATTAAAATATCACCAGATTCTGATAAAAGTGCCGCATTGATTGTATCTGAAGACAGACAAAAAAGTAATGTTCTTAAAGATTTTATAAATTTAGTCGGCGATGTTGCATCTATCAGTGATCATACTGATGAACCTGGCGTAACACACCACATTACTGGGGCAGTAGGTATTTCTGATTCTGAGGAATTAATACCTGTCAATGCTGGTTATAAAAGTAAAAATAACAACTGGAATGTAAACTCCATTACTGAAGTACCATTCAAGAGTAAGAATCAGGTACCAGTAACTAAACAAAAAATTATTGAAATTGAAGATGATGATTCAGAGAGTATCACGGATGCTTCTCCACCTCATGACAAAGTGGAGCCTACGACCCGCAGGCCCATTATAGATAATGTATCTGATGACATGGTAGCAAACAAAACAGACAAGAAGGATATAGAAATAATTACACAGACTTATGTACCGTCAGTTAACAGGCAACCCACTAAAGTAATAATGAAAAAGAGCGAAAAAACGGTTTTGGAGGAGGTATCTGCAGAGAACATCCCTGTTTCGTCATCAGCGGAGACTGCAACAGAAAGCAAATTTTCAGTATCAAGCGAGATCACAACATCTTCTGGATTTGAACTGTCCTCGAAAACTAACCAGAGAATAGAGGCGCTACCAATAGATGCCTCAAGCACAACGCAGTGAAAGTCATGCCACAGTATATCGATGGAACCTCAGCTAATTAGCATTTCGTAGTTAATAAGTTTCTTTCTTGAAACTATAAGTTAATGTAGAGACTATTAGATTTATGAGTTCTTATGCAGTAACCCTGTTAAATGGTTTAGTGCGTAGCTCGTCAATTTATTTCCCAGACAAGCACTGTTTCTTTGCTTGGGATAGATATATTTGTAATGTAGACCAGTGCTATCTGGTAATTAAATGTGCATTAGTTGGACAAATTATTTATAAAACAAATATAATGTTTAGGGGAGCGAGATAGAGATCAGATGCGTTAAGCGTCTGTTTTAATGTGTCAAATTATGAAAGAGAATTATTAGTGGATAGCTCTTCGTGTTAGGCGATAAGTTATTTATTTGTTTAGTGAGAGAAGCGAGGGTAGTGTGATCGATATGTAAGCAACTAAGCTAGTCAACTTGTGACACTATAGGGCCGCGCCGAAGCCACACGGCCGTCCCAGCCACGTTGCCATTACTGCTAGCTGTAATCAATCAGAACATGACAAAGCAGATATTACCGTAAGCATGCGTGTATAGTTTTAATTCCATATTACGAGGTAAGAACAAATTTTAGATTCTTGTCGCCCAATGTGACGTTAACACTTTAGATACGAAACGTAAAGAAATTTGGTACAAATCGAATTTGATATTAAACAATTATTTAGCTTATGAAATATATATTTAGACTTAGTGAATTAGAGTAATAATTGTGATCGCACATACCTTTATTTATTGCACATTCAGGAGGTGTAATTATATTAAGGTTTAATTTGGATCAGTCGGAAGGCTCAAGTGTAGCGTAAGGTTTATTTATTGATTTGTTTACGTCTGGTCTGTAGCAGCAGCTGGTCATCTTAGCTCTCTGGTAGGATCTGCTCACTGGTGGATCATCGGTCTGCTTGCTGCTACGGTCGGTTCAGTTTAGTTGGAACTGGTCTATACTGCGGCTTCTTGCTCCGGAAGACTGTTTCTTTTCCCGAGCAATAAGCGCATGTGCTCACTGTATTATTTAATATTATTGTTTTTTTTTTACAAATAAAAAAATTAGACTGACTTCTGTGTCTTATTTATCACCTTAATATCCCTTTAGATTATTCGCATTTTCATTATTTTTATAAAAACAACGCATTATCGTCTCACTGTTGGGCAAGAACTACTCCTTATTAGAGGATATAACTTACTATGATATATGTTACATTAATTATACTTAACAGCATATTACGACGGCTCCTAGGTAGAAGATAGTTTTTAAAGTTTTTCTTCTAACAATGTATCGGCTTAATTTCTTAGTCACCTTTTACTGAAAAGAAATTATACTTGGAAATTTTTACAAATTTCTAGACCAAATTGCTTCAAAACCATGTTATATTAGAAATATATGTATTAATTCTTTCACTTTTGAACCTTCCCCAGGCAATAGAAATATGATAGATAATCCATTAGGTAAATAGAAGTAGCAGTTGTTAAGTGACGTGCTTACATATATTCAGCCAATTGATTTTTATTTAGTTGCCTATGTACTTTCTGAAATTATATTTGTAAATATAAACTTACAAGGATTGTTTAAAAGAGCCACACACAAGTTTCTTGTTCGTTCTTCTTGTGATGAGACAGCTTTCCGAATGAGCGGTAGATAAAAAAAAATTGTTATGACTATTCAAAAGTGCTTAAATTAAGTTTATTTGAATAAATGATTTTCTATTCTATTCTATTCTATAGTATAAAATCTTAATGTAAAATTGGTGATTCTTCTTTTATGGTATTTGGATATCCCAATAAACAAATCCATCAATTTTACACTCGGATATCAGAGTCCAGTCCGAAACATTTCATTTTCAGTGGATTTCTTTTTAAACTGACGATAATGTACCTCAATTAATTAAACGCCTGTTAAAAAAAGATAGCACGGTCGTAGTGCTACCACAAAAAAGTTAGTTGCTTCAAACAGAACAGTTTTTAATGGATCGTAATATAATGCAGGAGCATATAAACAGGAGTTTGCACTAACGGTTTACGCTGGCGTGGCACCAGTGGGGGATGATAGGACAGTTAGCCCATCGTGACAAATTTAGCAGGTTGCATCACGATGGTTTCCAGGAGCAACCGTGTCAGATCAAACTGGCATGGTACATTAATAACAATGGACGGGATGGAACAACAGTCCACTTTACTAAGAATCTTTTTCCCCCAACAGAACAATTTTTTTTATATACTACGATGGTGGCAATCAAGCATACGGCCCATCTGATGGTAAATGATTACCGTAGCCTATGAGCGCCTGAAACACCAGGGGTATCACTTGCGCGTTGCCGGCCCTTAAGAAACCTTAATATACCCTTCTTGAAAAACCCCATGCTGTAGTCTCGTGGGAAAACCTCGGCAGAAAGTTCATTCCACAATCTAAGTGTACGCGGGAGGAAACTCCTCTGAAACCGCACTGTTCGGGACCACTTAGGTTCCAGTGTGTGGGGATGAATTCTCTGTCGATGGCGAGCGGTGCGGTGGTAAAAGGTGGCTGTCGGCATCATGTCGAACAATTCCTCAGAATACAGTCCGTTGTATAATCGATAGAACACACAAAGCGAGGCGAAGTCTCGCCTCATAGCACGTCTCCGAACCGAGTCAAAAGGACCGAGCTGGTATCCAGGTGCTCCCGCCCAAAGACGAGAGCAGTACTCCATGTGCGGCCGAACCTATGACTTATATAAGAGAAGTCTCTGGTCCGCAGTGAAGTACCGCCTCGCTCTATTGAGCACACCGAGCTTCTTGGACGCCAGCTTTACCTTTTCTTCCAGGTGACTGCGGAACTTAATACTACTAGAGATGTCGACACCGAGAATCCCAATACAATTAGAGATGGTCCCTTTATTTATGACATGTTCATCTGCCGAGTAATTTGTAACACTAATGAACATCATCACTCCATCTGTAATAGCAACCAAAACTATGATCTCAGATGGAATGGCAGTCATATTGCGAATATCATTCTTTAATGGACTGTATTGAAAAGTTTGTATTTGTGATCAAGTACAGTCAACACCTAGGGAAAGGTTGGACTTACGGGAATTACTTTCTGTTGTAGATGGAGTCTGAACTTGTCCACAATCGTATCAGTTGTCGTCACCAAATTTATCTTCTCCCACAACATATTGCTCTCTTGAATTATATTGATATTATTATGGGAATGCATTACACAGTTGCCGTACAAATCTTTGATGATTTGACCTCTATTGGTTACCCTTCTTTCCATTGGTCGGATTTCTTCTAAGGGTATTATTTAATACGAAATTTTGATTGCATTTAACCGCAAAATCAACTGATCTCAAGACAAGACAAAGACTAGACAAGTAATCAAGGTCCTAGCCGGTCCTTGATTTCTTGTCTATTATTGCTTGGTCATCCTGATCTTGAGCATCCTTGATCTAATATTCTACCAAGTCAGAAGATTGAGAATTGTCGACGTCGTGGTGAATGGAATATGCGATATACTCACAAAATATGTATATTTTTATCAGACACCTCAATCAGATATCAGACCGCCTCAAAATTAAATCATCAAATGTTTTTTGAAGTTTAGTTACACAATTAATTTCTGAACGCATCGTGTTGGACAGACATCAGCAGTTTGTATGGGAGAATAAAATTGTCATTTTTACTATTTCACATGCAATTTCTTCATATTTTATCACCGTTAAACCTTCCCTGGACTTCCACTAATATTTCAAGACTGAAATTAGCCAAATCGCTTCAGCCGTTCTCGAGTTTTAGCGAGACTGACAGCAATTCATTTACATATATACATATATATAGAAGGTAGTAAACAAACCAACTGCGGTCATCGAAGCCAAAGAAGAAGAGATAGTTAGCTATTAACGATAATAATATTCAATAGTACAAATGATTCAAACGTTGAACAAGGTCTTTCATAGTGAAAACTTAGACAATGTTTTGAATTTTAATGCGATAAAATTGTGCAATATAACATTCATAAGTGCGCAAGATTTGCTTACTAATTGCATAATTAGCTAAGCGTGCTTATATTTGATAGCCTCGATGGTCTAGTGGTTTAGCACACCGCTTTACGACCGATGGTCGCGGGTTCGATTTCTCGCACGGTAGAAACATTTCTCTCTGGTCTGGGTGTTTTCTATGTATAATATGTATTTATTTACAAAAAAAAAATGTATCTATGTATTTATATCAGTTGTCTAGTACCCATAACACAAGCTTTAGCTAGCTTAACTTGGATCTAGATGGCGTTGTGTGAATTGTCCTGAGATAATAATATTATTATAATGAAACTTGTAACACAGATAAATAACAATCTCGATTTGCATCTGGGATATCTTTTACACCCCAATTCAAGCAGAGAACGTCGCAGTATACAGCTAGTTGAAAATATGCATCAAGTACTTTGATGAAGGAAAATAGTAAATTTCTTGCATTACAAGAAACCATAATCTTAATCATCATTACATAGTTTAAAACAAAGTCGCTGTCGCTGTCTGTCCGTCCCTATGTATGCTTCAATCTTTAAAACTATGCAACGGATTTTGAAAATAGATAGGGTGATTCAAGAGGAAGTTTTATATATATATAATATATAAAACTTCCTCTTGAATCACTCTGATAGCGACTGATTCAAGAGCAACGATTTTGAAACGTTTTGTATATGTTTTGTATATGTAATACATGTACACCGAGCGAAGCCGGGGCAAGTAGCTAGTAATATTATAAACGCGAAAGTTTGTAAGTATGGATGTTTATTACTCTTTCACTCAAAAACTACTAAACGGATTTAAATGAAACTTTACAGTAATATAACTTATGCATCAGAGTTATACATAGGCTATATTTTATATTGAAATTTACACGGATTAAACCGCGAGCACAGCTAGTAACATAAAACCACATAAACTTTATTCATAAGAATTTGTAAATTTGATTTTGTAACAATTCAACGGCGCAAGAGCAGTACCTCTAGGGCATAATCTTACAAGATCGGTTTGGAAATTTATAAATTGAGCCCACTCACGTTAGTTGCCAGGAAAATATATGCATATGACTATCACACAAATACCTCATTTTATGATCTGTGGTTATGTGTATAATTACGATATCTGTCTGTCATAATTACCTACACTCGTAATGTCTTTGTTGTAAAATAATAAAATCGAACCTTTCTTCCAGTTCCTGTCAATGTATATTTTTAATACAGATACTTATTTTTTGTTACTAGTCTACTCTGTGGTAATTTCTCAATAAAAGTACTTTTACTTGAAGTCCATCTTTTTAATTAATTGTAATTATAAAAATAACAGGTTTTGGGCTCAGGTCTACGTCAAAATTCCAAATTAGAAAGTACAAAGTGACATATATTTTCAATTTTAGCAAATATTTATAGAAAACTCATAAAATTAGTGAACTTAACCTAACACGCAACTGGTTTTTTTGAGAAAATGTCTTCCAATAACTCGATGGCACTAATAGAAAAGCTATAGAAGCTACGACACCCTACTGAGTAGAAAAGAATAGAATAGAAAATCATATATTCAAATAAACTTACATTGAAGCACTTTTGAATAGTCATCACATTTTTTTAATCTACCGCTTATTCGGAAAGCTGTCTCATCACAAGAAGAACGAGCAAGAAACTTGCGTGTTGCTCTTTTAAATAATTTTATTGTTACTTTACATTTTTAAATTTAAGTGTGTGAATACAAACTACCAATTAGCACTAATTGAATTAAATACTCAAATAGAAAAAATATAAATACTAAATTAAACTTATTAATAATAAATTAGTACGTATTCACACGTTTCCACTTGTAAAATGTGAACTTACAAGGATTATTTAAAAGAGCAACACACAAGTTTCTTGCTGGTTCTTCTTGTGATGAGATAGATTTCCGAATGAGCACTAGATTAAAGAAAATATTATGACTATTCAAAAGTGCTTAAATTAAGTTTAATTTAATAAATGATTTTCTAATCTATTCTGAACACTTCGTTGATAAAGAACATAATCATCTTTAAAAAATCTAAAATAGTCG